GCCTGGCATCATTTCCCCCCACTTGGTCTGGCTTCTTTTCCAGTTTCCAATTTGATTCACTCATAACCTTCTCCTCTTCCCAAACACTTCCAATATCTCCTCCATCCTCATCTGATAAAATCATCTTGCTCTTTATTTCACTGAACAAAATAAAGGTAATAATCAAAAGAGAACTTCCAAGACATCCAAATGGCTAATAAACATAGGAAAAGCTACTTAACATCATTAGTCATCAAATGCAAATTAAAACCACAATCTGATACCACCACCACTCACCAGAACGGCTGAAATGACAAAGCCAGATAGTGATATAGGCATTCCTCAGAGATATTGCGAGTTGGGTGCCAGACCACCGCAATACAGCAAATACCGCAATAAAGCAAGTCAAATTAATTTTTTGGTTCCCCGGTGCATATAAAAGTAACAATTATGCTACATTGTGGTCTGTTGGGTGTGCAACAGAATTATGTCAAAAAAAAGTACATACCTTAATATGAAAATACTTTATTGCTAAAAAATAAAATGCTAACCATCCTCTGAGCTTTCAGCAAATTTTTGCTGGTGGAAGGTCTTTGCCTTGATGATGGCTGCTGACTGATCAGGATGGGGGTTGCTGAAGTTGGGGTGGCTGTGGCAGCTTCTTAAAATAAGACAATGACGTCAAAAGGAATGAGATCTTGCCATTTGCAACGACGTGGATGGAACTGGAGGGTATTATGTTGAGTGAAATAAGTCAAAAAGAGAAGGACATGTATCATATGATCTCACTGATATGAGGAATTCTTAATTGCAGGAAACAAACAGGGTTGCTGGAGTGGGTGTGGGTGGGAGGGATGGGGTGACTGGGTGATAGACATTGGGGAGGATATGTGCTCTGGTAAGTGCTGTGAATTGTGCAAGACTGTTGAATCTCAGATCTGTACCTCTGAAACAAATATGTTAAGGAAAAAAAAAAGAAGAAGAAGAAGGTAGCGGGAGGGGAAGAATGAAGCATGGGAAATCGGAGGGGTAGACGAACCATGAGAGACGATGGACTCTGAAAAACAAACAGGGTTCTAGAGGGGAGGGGGGTGGGGGGATGGGTTAGCCTGGTCGTGGGTACTGAGGAGGGCACATTCTGCATGGAGCACTGGGTGTTGTGCACAAACAATGAATCATGGAACACTTCATCTAAAACTAATGATGTAATAATGTATGGGGATTAACATAAGAATAAAAAAATAATAATAATAAAAAAAATAAGACAATGACGAAGTTTGCCCCATCAATGGACTCTTCCTTTCACAAAGAATTTCCCTGCAGCATGCGAAGCAGTTTGACGGCATTTTACTCACAGTACTTCCTTCAAAATTGGAGTCAGTCCTCTGGCCGCTGATTTATCAACTAAATGTATGTAATAATATTCTAAACCTTTTGTTGTCATTTCAACAATCTTAACAGCATCTTCACCAGTAGATTCCATCTCAAAAAACCGCTGATTACTGTAACAAATAATAATGAAAAAGTTTGAAGTAGTACCAAGAATTACCAACACGTGACGCAGACATAAAGTGAGCAAACACTGTTGGAAAAACAGCACCACAAGACTCCCTCGATGTAGAATTGCCACAAACCTTCAATTTGTGTGAAAAAGAAGCACAATTCAGCGAAACGCAATAAAGCAAGGGATGCCTGTAGTAATGAGGAAGCAAATGGAACTTTCACACCTTGCTGGTGGGAGCTGGATGGGTAGGGCATGTTGTAAAACTGCATGACACCATTCACTAACGTCAAGCACGTGTATACTTAGGGCCCATGAGTTTCCCCCCTAGATGTATACCCAACTGAAACGTATACATGTTGTCTATAAAACAGGTTCCAGAAGGTTCGCAGGAGCCTAACTCAGACAAAAGCTAGAAACAACCCAAATGTTCATTAACACTAGAATGAATAAACTATGGCATATTCGTATAATGGAGTATTACACAGCAGGGAGGATAAATGAACTACCGCTGCCCACAGCAACATAGGTAAGACTCGTATCGAGGTGAAGGAGCCATAAGCAAGAGCGTATATAGTACTTACAAGAAATTCAAAGGCAGGCAAGATCATCCATGGTGTCAGGACTGCAGGTACCTTTGCAGCAGCGTGGGGAGTAACTGGAAAGGGGTACAGGAGCACTCTGGATTGCTGACGACGTTCCATTTGCCGACCCGGGTTCTAGTTACGCAGGTGTGTTCATTTTGTAAAAATTATTGAGCTATAGATTTGGGATTTTTGTACTTTCCTGTATGTGTATTATACCTCAGATAAAATGTTAATGAAAGGAGAGAAAGACACTCCACAGACTGACACTACCACATGGACCCAACTATGGGCATCCGAGCCCATCCTCCCTGCCTTCACTCCTGTTACTGGGGCGAACTGTTGTTCATGCTTCCGTCAAAGACAGGCCTTTCCTCCTGTGCCCCCACAGAATTACCCCCTCTCTTCACAAGGACGCCACTCTGGTCTCCCATCTCGTTCCTACACCTTTTCTCTCGACGAGATCTTTCCCATCAACCTCCAAACACGCGCTCACTTTTCTAATTTTTAAGACCACCTTCTCATCCCTCAGTTACTGTTGTTTTTCCCCTTCTCTTAGGCTAAAGCAAAACTCAAAACAATTGTCTATACTTGCTGATTCCAAATTTGTTCTAATACTCTTCTTGGAACCACTCCAATCATGTTCTCCCCTCCATGCTCCACAAAGGTTGATCTTCTCATCCATTGTTAAGTCCAACGGTCACTTCTTCATCCTCACCTTCCATGATTTTCAGCCACTTGAGGCATAACCATCAACTCCCTCTTTCTCAAATCACTTTCTCCTCTAGGCTTCCAGAACACTGCATACCCAATATGCCTTCTACCACACTAGCTGCTTCGTTCCAACTCTCTTTTATGGGTTCCACCTTATCTCCCTGACCTCTCATTTTGGAGAGCCTCAGAACTCATCTAGGGGCTTCTTCTCTGTTTTCTTATCCAGTGTCATATACACACTGTGTAAGTGGAGGAATGCCAACAAAGTGTCTCCAGTCTGGATCTTTCTCCCACTCAGGTTCCTCACACATTCGTCTCCTCAGCATCTCTACCCAGATGTCTAACAGGTATCTCCAATTTTGTATGTGCAACATCAAACTCCTGTCTTCCCCTAAGAACCCACTGACTGACTTCCCATCTTGGTTAATGGAAACTCTATCCTTCCAACTGATCATCAGGACAAAACCCTTGGAGACATTCTTAACTTTGCCATCTCTCTCATAAACAAACAACCTTCAGAGCATTTCCAGAATCTGACCACTCTCACCATTTCCACTTCTGTAACCCTGGTCTAAGCCAGTATCGCTAGGTGCCAGGATTATTGCCATAACCTCCTAGCTGGCCTCCCTGCTCCCCCCCACACACACAACCAAACCCCCCACCAGTCTGTTCTCGGTGCAGCATTAAAATGTTAACCAGATCAGGTCAGTCCTCTGCTCAAAACCTTCGGGTGGCCTGTTTCGCTCAAAGACAAATTACATGTAATAGGTTACAAGGGCCTTACAAGGGTCTACAGGTAGACCCTTCTCCCTGTACTGTTACCTCTACTCCATGGCCTCCTTGCCATTCCTCAAACGAGGCAGACCAGCTCCTACTTCAGGGCCTTGCAAGTCTCCTCTTGGCCTAGAAGCCTCTTCCCCCATTTATCCTCATGGATCGTACCTTCATCCTTTTCAGATCTTGACTCAGATGCCGCTTTTTCCATTGAGGGCCTCCCTGCCCACAGCATTTACAATGTTAAGCACTCTCCCTTCCCACCCCGCTCTCCTAAGGTCTCTATCACTTCCTTCAATTTCTCTCTAGCACTGCCTCCTTCTAATGTAAGTATGTATTACTTATCTGTTTACAGGCAGTTTCCTGACAATATGTGAACAATAGGAGCTTGAGGATTTCTGTTTTGTTGACTGCTCTATCCCCCAGTGTCATGAACAATGCCCAGTAAATAGTAAGAGCTTAGTTACAATTTGTGGAATGAACACAGGAGTTATGTCAATCCTTGTCATATACTCAGGCTTCATAGAGATGGGAACTATAGCTTAAGCATCTTTGTAATAAATGACTGACTGAATGGAAGAAAGAAGAACAGGCCTTCAGTCCAACTAAGGTAGGCAGTGTATTTAATTGTTCTTTCCATTTTTATTTTTAAATTTTCTTTAAAGATTTATTTATTTAAGAGAGAGAGAGAGAGCACAAGCAGGGGGAGTGGCAGGCAGAGGGAGAGGGAGAAGCAGACTCCCCGCTGAACAGGGAGCCCGACTCAGGGCTGGATCCCAGGACCCTGAGATCATGACCTGAGTCAAAGGCAGACGCTTAATCAACTGAGCCTACCTTTTCTTCCTTCCTTAAATTTTCACTCAATCAAAAGCAAAGATTACAATAGGCAGAGTGTGCAACAAAAATATAGTTATTAAAGCAATGCTTACCAAAATCAGAGAGGAAATATTCAAACTCTGAGAGGTAATACAAACATTGCTCAACTCACTTATGATTTTTCTTGATCAAAGGTTAAAGAAACATATGACTCAGGAAGGAAAAATCAACAGATATGATGATTTAATCGTTATGATTTCTAAAATACACTAAACAAATTATGGAGAAATTTGACCCTTCTGATATGAAGACCTCATGTCATTAAATAAAGAGCACCTCCTATTCACCCGAATATATTTCTAGAGAAAATTTCAGTGCTTGGAAAATTCCAACAACTTATTCCCCCCAAAATGACAAGTTCACATTTTTATCTTTTTAATTTATATTTCAAAATTACAATTTATTTCACACTAAAACTTATAGAGGAAATTGACCATGAGACCAAAGACCCGAGTTCTTTTCTCAGAACACATGCACTCAGGGAAACGTGCCCACTTCCCACAGCAGCAGGGCACTGTCTTCCAACCTCGCCCCCCGCCCCCAGGAGGAACAAGGACAGTCACAAAGGCTAGTAGGTGGAGAGGCCCATGATCCCCACAGCTGGGGACGGACCTCACAGGGCTCATCTGCTGAGCACGTGACCATTCATTGGTCATCTCTGGCGGGGCTGGGAGCAAGGGGAAGAGGACGAATACTGCAGTGTAGGTAAGGTGGGGTGGCGATGCCCATTACCAAAGGAGTACAACCTTACAAGTAAGAACTTATAAATACAAGATTCACTGTGTCAGACAGTGATAACTATGTCAGAATACGTGGATTGCAGGGAAAGTCGACTGAGAGAAAACTTGATTAAGTGAATCATAATCACTGATGAATATGTTAGTGACATCATGACATCATAGGTTCATTCAAGTTACATTAACTTGTGCATACATCCCTTTCCCAGAGCACAGTGCAAGCAGAAGATCAGCTGCACTCTGTATAAGATATGCCTGTCTTTTTATATAACATCCCTCGCCCCTCACAAAAGCGTCTGACGAAGAGCCAATTGCCTTCCAATTGTCTGACACTTGTCTCTGGAGCTTCAGAAAGAAATCTTTCACTGGGTAACATTTATTGGGGGTGGGGGAGAGAATACACACACAACGGTCTCCCCACAAGGAAATGTATAAATCCCAGAACTACAAATAGTGACACTTCCATTCCTATACTTAAGACAGACATTTGACTAACAAGACCTAACTTGGGATGCCCAGACTCCCTGCTTTAGCCAGACGGTCCTAGTTCATTCTTGTTTCCCAACATAACTATTACTAGTCCAGCACCCTGCCCCCGCTGAAATGTGTTCCCGTTTGGACAATAAATTATACGGTGGCCTTACCTAAATCGCTTTTATCTTTGTTATAGAACATTAAGCTTTGGCTGTGAAGCTGGCAAATTAGTGCTGTTAACTGTCTCATAAGGATATGGGTGGTTAAACTGGTTAAACTGCCCTGCTTTTTCTCTTACAGAGAAGTCATGAATCTTTCAATGTAAACAAAATGAGGAGGGCTTTTAATAATGAAAGAATCAGTTCTGTTCCTCTATATTCTTTTGAATCTGCTATTTAGACACCCTGCCATGAGCACTTTGGAATAATGGAGATTAGTTATGAGAAAAAGGTTTCCACTTTTATCTTATCTCTGGCTTACTAGACAAAAAGTAGAGGTAAGGGCTTTGAATCAAGAGCTATTTATTTTTAAGTTAATAATACAAAAGGCCCCCTCTTTCCATTAAAGTCCCACCCCACCCCCACTACCAAGCCTAGAATTATTAGAACCGCGTCTCCACAGAGTAGAAAAGCAGACACCAAGCATTCAACTGAAATCTGGGTCCCCTGCCACACTGCCCTCCCTTCCTCTCCCAAATAGCTGGCTCGTACTCGGACTCTGGAAGAATGTCAGTGGGGGAGCTATTAGGAGTGGGGTGAGTGCACACTCAGTGTTCACCCGGGACAGCAAGTTGTAAGGCAGGAGATCTACTTACCCGCACTCCCATAGCAACCCCCTGACTTGGGGACGCCAAGGATTCCAGAGCCCCGGTTCCCCACCCCACTGTCCCAGAACCCCCTGGGCATGTTTGCACATATTCCTGCCCCACAGGGAGCACTTCTCTGATAGGGTATCTCAGAGTTCAGTCCCATAGATGGCCTTATAACGTAAGTACTCTTCTAAGCACTGAAGAACATTGTCATCCACCTTTGGGTCAAACTTGTTAGCCAACAGGTGATGGTTTTGAAGAATCCAATGCAGGTCCCCAGTCCCATAAACACAGACAGACCGCTGGTGGGTCCCAGAGCAAGGTGCATAAGGTGCCCCCATACTGATGTCTCCCTCATGGTTTTGCCACTTGACCAGCCTGGCAATGGCTGTCATGTCAGAGATGTGAAATTTGGGGTGGTAGGGAATAGAACCCGGCATCCACGGTGCACGCTGAAGAGTGGCCCACAGATGTTCATCGGGGCTATAGGTGTCTTTCACCCACTCGATCAGTCTTTGGGACTTGGGGTTCTCCAAGACATGCCGGACAAAATCTCGAGAAGCCACAATATAGGCATTCCCTGTGAACATAGGTATATTATCCGGGGGAGGATCCTTCATCTTGCTGGTTATGTACAATGCATCTGTCACCTCATAGTGATATGTCCAGCGAGACCTTTTGTACTCAGTAGGTTTTTCTGACTCCATACTGTTCTTCCCATTCAACATCTTGAGGGCCAGGACCATCTCAGCATTGGTCTTTATAGGAAAGTCCGTCCCACATGTATTCAGTAAGTATCTCCACGGCACTGAGCTCTGGAGCAAGTCCTCCATACAGTTTAGGTCAGCCTGCACCCTGGACCAGGAGGCATAAACCACCCGAACCAACTTACTGGCTATGAAGACATTTGGGAAGCATGACACAATCGCCTTGACTGCCTCTTTGAAAGTTTCTGGGGATTTCTCATCCACATGGACACAGTATATGTTCTGAGGGGCATACAAAGCTCGCAGCAGTCTTTCAAAGTTCTCGATCTTCTCATGGACCACCATAGAGTATGCAATAGGGAAGTCTAACTCTTCTTTGCTCAGAGGGAACCGTATGAACTTCCTTTCGGCCTTAAAGTGCTCACAGTCTCTGGTCATGTTAAGGTAGTCGGTGTCTGTGAAGGGCTCCCGCTTCTTCTTGACCTCCAGGTTGTCCAGGAGAGCCTCCGTCACTGCCTGCTGGTCCCCTCGGATGATTCCAGAACAGTTGATGGATCTCTTTGCTGGCAGCTTCAGGGACTTGTACAAGATGTCCCTACAGGGCTGGCTCCGAAAGTCCCTGGACTCCAGATCCAGGGATTCAAAGTCACATTTCAACCTGAGAGAAAACCTCAGAGCAACCACGGCCAGCAGCATATAGCAGCCCAGGGCCCACAGGTGATGCTGCCGAAAGGGCTTCTTCTTCCACCAAACCATCTTCATGGAATGAGAAACCAGCAGTTGGGGCACAGGGAAGGATGAGGAGGATGGAATCCTTGGACAGAACAAAATGCCTTCAATTACAAACTAACCCTGAATGTATTCACAGAAACACCAAGCTCAACTCCAAAGGGATATTTCTTCTCTAGACAAATATCCTCAGTCAAGACCTGCCTAGGAACCTCTTATCCCTGGCTTGTTGACAGAGGTCTATAATCTGACCCTACAAACAAGCCATTCATGCTGGGATCAGGATCTGGCTCCACCTCTGCCCCAAGAGAAAAGGAAAGGGAAGCAGAACTGAGCACCTGCTGACGTTGAGGTGTAATGAATAAGAGGAAGTCCCTGCCCGCCTTTCATTCCTCCATCTTCCCCCCCAACCCTTTACCACCCTGTTTCTAACATAGTTCTTATCTGGGGCCTAGAATTCCTAATCAGTCTAGAGAGACACTCCATGAAATTCAGACTCTCAGCATCTGTTCTAGAAATCCAAAGATTTAAATCCTTTTAAAAGAAAAAGTACAGGGGCATCTGGCTGGCTCAGTTGGGAGAACATGCAACTCTTGATCTCAGGGTCATGAGTTTGAGCTCCACGTTGGGTGTGGAGATTATTTAAAAATAATTAAACTTTTAAAAATAAATAAATAAAATAAAAAGTACATATCTTGCTCGTGTTTGGCAATTTGTGTATTAGGCTGCTTTCACCACATAGAATTCATTGGTTAGATGTGGTATCTAGGCATCTTTTTAAAAAATGTTCTTTTTTAAAATGTTCTTTTTAAAAAATGTTCTTAAAGAAGTACAAAAAATGTTCTTTTTAAAAAATGTTCTTAAAGAAGTACAAAAAATTGGTTATGATCCAACAAATGCATTGGAATCATTCATAGAGATAACTCAGATATATTTAAAATATATCTACACTCAGAGACACAGAGAACTATGCATATACAATAATTAATGAGTGCTTTCTATGGGCCAGAAATATTTCTTTACATTGTCCAATTTAATCTTCACAACATACCTGAAGTGTAGTATTACTAGGCCTCTTTCACAGATAGGAAAACAAATGCTAAATAACTTGCCAAATATCATGTATATTTTAAGAAGCAAATATGGGACTCATCCCCAGTTTTTTTGTCTGCAAGGCCAATACTTCTTCCTTCAAACCATAGCCACCTTTTAAATAATACAATACAGGGTTCTGGATACCATTAAAGAAAACCAGATGATATAAAGAAAAAATCCCTTACAGGAGAGAAACAAAATGTGACAAATCCTCCCGACAAAGACTGTTTTCCTTTGTTGTGTCCTCTTTCTAAGCATAAGATGGTGTCCTTCTTGGTCGTAACTTTTTATGGGAATCTAAGAAGAAGAAAAAAACGGAAGATTAAGAAAATTCTCACCTTTTTAATAGCTTTGTTCTTGCTTAGGAAAGATCACTTGCCAGGGTGTATGTGTCTCCAAGGGAAGATTGATTGGAATCCAATGGAAGCAAATGTGAACACCATATCCCCTTCTTCTAACCCCTCCAAAATATGGTTTCTGATATTCACAGGATGTCCATGAACAGTCTCAGGCTCCTCCTCAATCTCTGCAAATGAGAGAGCGGTAGGTGGCTCTATCACTCACCTTCCAACTTCCTCCTCTCAGATAAGGGCACAAGCTCACAAGTATTCAGGAGCATATTCTCAAGCACTAGTCATTCAGGGAGGTGAATAAGGCAGGAAGAAAACGCCGGCAGTATCTGCAAGCAGGTATTTCTTTCGTGGTTTTGTTGTTGTTGTTTGTTAAGATTTCATTTATTTACTTGACAGAGAGAGAGCGAGAACAAGCAGGGGGCATGGCAGAGGGAGAGGGAGAAGCAGGCTCCCCGCTGAGCAGGGAGCCCCACATGGGGCTCAATCCCAGGACCCTGAGATCGTGACCTGAGCCAAAACCAAGATTCAGATGCTTAACTGACTGAGCCACCCAGGTGCCCTGCTAACAGGTATTTCAACCAGAACAGCCCAGTTTGTAACCATGCTCTCCTGCCACAAAACCATTCATAAAAACCTGTCAAGGCTCACACAAGAACTTGAAAGCTTTCCCACCCCATACCCCTTAGCAAGGAACCATAGAAACACAGGCATGCCCCTGGAATCCAAGTATCACTCCCCGAACATTACAAGAGTGAAGCAATAAAAACAAAAACAAAAAACTTTTATACTTAAAAAAAAAGGTTTTTTTTTTACAAAAAAAATTTTTTTTACAAAAAAAAAAACCACAACTTTACTTAAAAACGTTGCTTAAAAAAATCTTTTTTTAGCGGGAGGGGAAGAATGAAGGGGGGGAAATCGGAGGGGTAGACGAGCCATGAGAGACGATGGACTCTGAAAAACAAACTGAGGGTTCTAGAGGGGAGGGGGGTGGGAGGATGGGTTAGCCTGGTGGTGGGTATTGAGGAGGGCACATTCTGCATGGAGCACTGGGTGTTGTGCACAAACAATGAATCATGGAACACTTCATCTAAAACTAATGATGTAATGTATGGGGATTAACATAAGAATAAAAAAAAGGAAAAAAAAAAAGAAGAAGAAGAAGGTAGTGGGAGGGGAAGAATGAAGGGGGGGAAATCGGAGGGGTAGACGAACCATGAGAGACGATGGGCTCTGAAAAACAAACAGGGCTCTAGAGGGGAGGGGGGTGGGAGGATGGGTTAGCCTGGTGGTGGGTATTGAGGAGGGCACATTCTGCATGGAGCACTGGGTGTTATGCACAAACAATGAATCATGGAACACTACATCTAAAACTAATGATGTAACGTATGGGGATTAACATAAGAATAAAAAAAAGGAAAAAAAAAAAGAAGAAGAAGAAGGTAGTGGGAGGGGAAGAATGAAGGGGGGGAAATCGGAGGGGTAGACGAACCATGAGAGACGATGGGCTCTGAAAAACAAACAGGGCTCTAGAGGGGAGGGGGGTGGGAGGATGGGTTAGCCTGGTGGTGGGTATTGAGGAGGGCACATTCTGCATGGAGCACTGGGTGTTGTGCACAAACAATGAATCATGGAACACTTCATCTAAAACTAATGATGTAGGGCGCCTGGGTGGCTCAGTTGGTTGAGCGACTGCCTTCGGCTCAGGTCACGATCCCGGAGTCCCGGGATCGAGTCCCGCATCGGGCTCCCTGCTCAGCGGGGAGTCTGCTTCTCCCTCTGACCCTCCCCCACTCATGCTCTCTGTCTCTCATTCTCTCTCTCTCAAATAAATAAAATCTTAAAAAAAAAAAAAAGTAATGATGTAATGTATGGGGATTAACATAAGAATAAAAAAAATCTTTTTTTACTTAAAAAAAAGTTTTTACTTAAAAACCAGAGTTTGAGCTCCAAATGACAACTGCTTAAAAAAAAAAATCCATTTACCTGTCATTCATTATTGTTAATAATCTGTGAGTTGTAGAAATACCCACGGGGTTCCAGTCCTCACTGATGTCTGAGTCTAGGGTCTTGGCAGGGGCAGGAATGGACTAGCGCTACGGACCTCCGGACGTCAGCGAGAACCCCCGGGGCGGTTTGGGAAACACAGGGTGGAAAAAGCCTTCTTCAGAGCTGCTCACTCTGTTTGCCGCTGTTTCTCTCCTGAACCCAAGCCCCGCTCTAAGAAAGCACTCCTGGCCAAATATTTGAGAGCGCCCATTTAATATAAAGAACTTAACTAGATGTAGAGGTTAATAGATAGCTGTAGGGCGGAGGGAGGGGGTGTGAGAACACCCTAAATTAAGGAAGTAGAAATTGATGGAAGTAGCTACCACTCCTAGGCCGGAGGAAGGAAGACAAGATTGGGGAATTCTTTAATTTAAAATTTGGGAAGAAGGGTGCCAGCAAGCGGAAACTCAAGACCTCTGAGAGGCGTACGCCACCAACTACTCAACCGGTGCTGGGGTCTCTGACCTTGGAGGAGCACCCCCAGGCTGAGATCCCAACCTCTCCCGAGGCCGCTGACGTCTCTGCACCCCGTCACTGAACTGGATTCAGTGCAGTTACATAAAGAAACTGCCCCTGGGAGGTAAACAGGCGTTGACACGGTGATGCTCACAGAAGCAGGAAGTAGCGGACAGGAAGCAAGCAGGAAATCCCGCCTCCAGCCCTACCGGCTCCCTCCAGCGCCCCCTGTTGGCCGAGCCTAAATGGGGGCAGAGCCGGCGAAGCAGAAACGCTGACTGCAAAATGTGGGCTTCGTCTGAAGACAGTAGCATAATAGCGGAGATCGGTCACAGTTACCTTCCTCCTACAAGAAGTGTTTATGCGGCCCCCAGTACAGCCTAGGGAACTTCGGTCTTTTCTTTTTTTGGACCTCTTCTGTCTGGTTCTGACTATAGATGGAGACAGGCCACCGGCAAGGGAGCCATATCGGGTCATCTGTGCTCCCGCTTTTATTGGCCCTACTCCGCTGGCACTGTCTTCTGTCAGCTTCCGTCATTCAGAGTCTGTGTGGCTCTCGGTTTTGAGCTGTGACATTTCTTTTTTTTTTTTTTTTTTTTTTTCAGTTATATATGGTTTATTTTTTTAATATTTAATAAAATTTTCATTTTCTTTTTTTTTTTTAATTTTTTTATTCTTATGTTAATCCCCTTACATTACAATATTAGTTTTAGATGAAGTGTTCCATGATTCATTGTTTGTGCACAACACCCAGTGCTCCATGCAGAATGTGCCCTCCTAAATACCCACCACCAGGCCAACCCATCCTCCCACCCCCCTCCCCTCTAGAACCCTGTTTGTTTTTCAGAGTCCATCGTCTCTCATGGTTCTGAGCTGTGACATTTCTGAGGCAAACAGGATTAAAGGGCAAACGCTTGTCTGGGTATATTCTCAGTCTACAAAAAATTCTCCAATTCCTTTATATATGACTTTCCTTTGATGGGCCCCTCAAAGTCCCACCTTCTTTCCCATAAAAATCGTATCACACAATCTCTCAATAAAAAGAAAATATTTTGAATATTTGATTGTTAAGGTAACCAAAATAGGCATCCATGCTTATTTGCTCAATATATGCTAATATAACATTAACACCTTGTAAAACAAGACAAAATCAGAAAGGGAGACAAACCATAAGAGACTCTTAACTCTAGGAAACAAACTGAGGGTTGCTGGAGGGGGGATAGGTGGGGGGATGGGGTAACTGGGTGATGGGCATTAAGGAGGGCACGTGAAGTAATAAGCACTGGGTGTTACATGCAACTGATGAATCACTAAAATCTCCCCCTGAAACTAATAATACACTGTATGTTAATTGAATTTAAATTTTAAAAACATTAACAAATTGTAGATATAGTTTGCTGAGATAATCTTCATATTAGTAATACCAAGTGGGTAGTAGTTACAGGCTTACCTGGGTTTTGGCAAGACAGAGCGAGGTCTGAATCCTGGCCCTGTCACCTTCTAGCTGCGTGATCATGGGCAAATTCTGTAATCTGTCTGTGCTTCCC